GAATTATAAATGCCTGCCCGGCAGCTTCGGTATAACGAGGTTTAACTGTATATACAATTATATTATATAAACTTAATATGTACAGTGCCCATAAATGACCGGGTGTAAATTATACATCTAATTCGCAGACGCGTAATGAAAAATTTTACTTGTTAAGTTCAACTACGGCGCTAACAAAATGTGTTTAGAATAGTTTGAAATATATATATTTAAATTTTTATTCAATAATGATGGAGAATTAAATTTAAACGCAACCGTAGTTATTCCCCGTAAGGTATGTTATGCACATACAGTACAATGCATGAATGTAAAGCCATTGCATTTGTTACCTGTCAATTGTTTATTTCTCTATCATTTCTCATCCAAATCGAATGAAATTTTAAATATACGTATTTTAAAAGATTCTAAACACATTTTATTAGTAGTGTATTTAATTTCAACGTAGCTAGTTTTGACTCTACAAATAAGCAAATGTTGAAGAAAAAATCAGCGAAACTATTAGACTGACTTTAATCATTGGTTAAGCAGAGAAAATAAACATTAATCAATAAAGTTACATAAATATACGTAAATTAATATTGCAAGCAAGTTTAATTAGTGCATAAAAGTACGGTTGCATTAATAAAAATTTTCATTACGTGCCTGTGAATTTGACGTATAAGTTACAACATTTTGTGTTTTACCCAGTCGGGTATTGTACATTATATATTATAAACATAATTATTTACAAAGAGTGAATTATATACAATAAATAAAGTATTATCATCGTATTATACATTATTATTGTATCTATCTACTAAATATACATATACATGCATGTGTCAAGTATCAGTGGGGGTGTCAATGTCCATAGTAATAGGAATATATACTTCAACGCCTTGAGAAGCCTGTATATTTTGGATCTCCTGCCGTCTTTTTTCAGATGCTGCTGAGTTCCAGACTAAGTCCGCAGTTTTTGTTATAACTACCCCAGCAGCTGCTCTTCCCGTTGGATCATCAGGTTCTGTATGAATAATTGCTTGTTTATAATATTTTATTAGACGCTGTGTTCCACTTTGATAGCAATTAAAGATACGATCATATCCCGTTTCAGAAAGTTGACTGCATCCTTTAAATAGCCAATGCTCTTCTGGTAATGGAGAAATAAACGCTTCCAGCATTTTTTCTGCAAGTCGATTAACAGCTTCAGATCGACTATTTTTAGCGTGACTTCCACTTGCACTGGCATGATCACCATTAAACATTGAGAACAAAATGTCCGTAATTTCCCTCTCAGACTGTACTGCATTTATTTGAAGCTTAAGGTCTCATCGCTAATAACCTTTTTTATGTTTTGTTTAACGTATTTAACTCCAAAAAATTCAAGTGCCCTCATCAAAGGCGAAATAATGTTCTCTTTCAGTGAGATTTACAGAACAGACAATTTGTAAAAGTTCCCGGAGTTGAGGTGAGGACTTAAGCTCAGCAAGGAAATGAACTACAGCCTTGGCGTAATTTCTTCTTGCTGCAACTGGAAAAAGAGGGGCCAAGTTTGATAATTGCATTCTAAAATTTCCTCTTCGAATTCCTATCTTGTGCCCTTTCCAAAAATTAGCCCATTCGAAATACAAAAGCCACACTTTAGCCAAATTGTTATCTCCATTAATCAGCTCTCTCAATGTCAACTTTTTCTGTAAGAGATACTTGTAAATGGCAATACCTGTTGATGCCCAAATCATTTCCAAGACATTGCAAGTCGACCGATAATCAGTGTTTTTTTCGAGTTTTCCAGAAACGTTACACCAGGCTCTGACGCTAAATTATACTGTATATGCCGTAACTGGAAAAAATAAGGACAAGTGCATTGCACATGGCTTTGGAAGTGTGCCATTGTCCTAATCCGACTCTTAAGTTGTTGTGTTGGTCTTGGACTTTTAAAAGTCGCTGGTAGATTGCCTGATCTGCCCATATATCTAATTTAGCATCCTCAGCCATCTGAAAGTCCTCAAAATATGCTGCACAGGTATTGAGTATATTTTGATTAGATGATGGTTTATCACCAGCCTCAAGAATCACAACATTGGGTTTTTCTACATCGCAGCCAATTTCAATAGTTTCTACTAGCTTTCTGTTGATAATATCCACATTAATATTGGCTGCTGCTGTTGTGACCAGGCTTTTAAAAATGTCATTTACCCGTTGGAACCTGTCCTTACTCGTACGTAGGGTATCTTGGCCAAATAACTTGTGTCGTGCAGTAAGTCGGATTTTATTGTCACTGATTGAGTCCAGTGTCCGTGGAAGTTTGAATTGAAAAACCATACGCAGCGTCGCATGAAATGTTTTACGAGCTGCATCATAAATATTACCATATTTGTATGTCGTTTCTTCCAAGTCAATATTGTCGATTACGCACACATTCCAAATGGACGGACCAGTTTGAAGTCGCTTAACTGGATTTGCGTTTTGCATACGAGCTCTTTGTAACCGACGTTCGTGAACACTGGTATGTGATATGGCATTCACCGCTCCAAGAAATGTCCGTAATGATGGTAATAATTTTGGTTTTTGGCAGACCGATGCCAACGTATGTGTAATCCAGACTTTCATATTTTTAAATGCTGTCGACAAAATGATTGAAGACAGAAACACCGTTATCATTATAATTTTGTCCATAAAATAAATTTATCAGAATCGGAGGTGACGCATTTTTATAGCTATATAATGAACTTGGCGTTTCTAGTTCGTTTTTATTTTGTTGTATTTGGGCACGTGAATCCAATATGCGCTTGGCTATATTTTCTCCCAATTCGTGAGAGTTTTCAATTGTTATTGTTATTGGAACACTCTCTGGGAGCATATTGTTCGTTTTTAATATAGTCCTAATTACGAGTGGGCGTAAAGACGTAGGCTCAGTACTAGTACTGGTTTCAGTTGCAGGCTCACCAGCTGTGTTATTATTATGTTCAGATTTTTGAAAAACTCGTAGTAGTGACGCTGCTTCTGTCAACACTTTATCCTTAAACGTGTCATTGTCTGTCTTGGCTACTACGTTGCACAACCATTTTCCGAGAATTTCAAGCGACTCAGATTTATCTATCATTCGGTGAGTTTGTTTGTAGTTGAGATTTCTTAATAAAGTCATCGAGTTGCTAGTCCACCCATCGGATAATTGTTTATAACCACAAATGCACCACACAGGACTACATCGGAGTATTCCACATGTGGAGCAGAAGCCATATCAAGAATAACAATGGTAAAAGACTTCATCAGCAACCATGTAATAGTTATTATCATTAGACTTGGTGAATCCCTTTATGAGTTTGTTGCGATACTCAAGCCATATGGAGTATCACTAAAGTTATTGTCATTGTTATAGTACTTGTGTGTTAGAAGTGAGTATATCCTAGCAAGCTCATTCACAAGTGGTTGGCGTGCATTCTTCATTACTTCCAAGTAATACTAGCGTTATCGTCTCATCATTATTTTCATATTTGAGTTTGCGAATAGCGTAGTAAACGTTGTCAATTTGGGTCGGCTTTACGTTGGTGATTTGCTGGTAAGGAAACCATACATGTTTATCAAACAAGTTGACAATGGTTGGATTATTAGTGCCTGATGCTAACGACATAGTAATAGATTGAGAAAATTCTTTTCAACAAACGCTGTAATGTTACTTCTCAACAGTTGTGTTACACTACACACATCGTGTTGCATAAATCTAACCGCATACCGATACGACAAGAAAATTATCGGTAAAACGTGCCAGAAAGATAACAGAAAGTCGTGAATGGATTAGAGTTTTCTGAACGTCCAAGTCAACAACAGAAGAATTGGAGATAGCAATTTTCTGCGCGATGTAAGAAAATTATTATCAAAAGGAATGCATTCACGAACGTTGGATGCATATAGGTTTTTATTCGAAAGAAAATTTTCATGCATCTGCATATTTGCCGCTTTCGTAAAGCCCTTCATAGGCTGATAAAAGGCATGAGGACAAATCAATTACGATATCCATTCTTACAAAGTTTTTTTTTTAAAAAAAAACAACAGAAATAACTTTTATTGATCATGATGTCGTCCTTGTGATAGTGACAGCGTAAAGTCGTTCAACGTTCAACGAATGACAGATCATATCAATATCTACACAATCTGTATTCTGCAACGACACACATTGTATACCAACTGGTGTGCTCGGTGATTATTGCTTATTATTATGTAAAGATTTTTTGTAATAAGTGTTAAAAAAACCCATCATTATAAGGCTGCTAGTCAACATACTTTTGTCCGATTCAGAGACTATTGTATGGGTGTTTTACTCAGCTGTCCATAGCGGCTACTTCTTCTTAGTGAGTATTAAATGACATGTTGGTGGCGAAGACTGTTCGAACATAGGTCTATATACAGAACTATTGTGAGATAATCGTTTCAACTTATAAGTCTAGAATTTACTCAATGATAAAGTTTTGGATTTATATGTTAAAGTGCAGCTATTACATTGTTTGAATGGAACACCCACCAGAGTGACGTTACAAATACAGCATTAATAAATAGCAAATTACGTGTATTTGCCATGCACAGTAAACAGTCAATCTTAAATGTGTCAATTACCTTGAGAAATTACATTCTAAATCGTTTACCATCTTGGTCATGTCTTTGTGCTTAACTAATTAAACTGAATGTTACCGCTTTATATTTACAAATCAAGCCGTGCGCAAATATGCGATGAAACATACTTTTCGACAATTGACTATCATGAGGACTATAATCTTGCTGCAATTATTTTCAATTAGGTTAAATATGGCCTTGGTTTGTAGGTGGCTCACAACTGTACGACTTTTACGATTACACTTCATGGTCAAATAAAGACACCGAATATGTTTGTGAATATTATTATGACATCAATTTATTAAATATGTCAGATCGAGAGAAGAAAAGTTACATGTTTACGTAGATTATATAAAACAATTACGACATTCGATCACGTTAAATCGAGTTTCGTGACTTTACCAATAATTGTTTTATTCTTTAGTCTTAAAAACTGTAAATTGCGAACTAGTTCCAGAAGCATGATTTTTGTCGTCGGTTACTTTAACAGTGAATGCATCACCATCAGAGGCCCACGCTGGATCAACGAAAAAGTCTTTCGAACCGCTATTGGCATTTTGACCCTTTTTAAAAAATCGATTTTAGCAAAGAGTAAAACGGTTATTAAATTTTAAACAATTTATCTGATAAATAAACTTACCGTTGTGGTAAACACAGGGGAGCTGACACCTTTCTTGATAATTTGAATAGTTACCGTGTCTGTTTGGGGAAAAAACTTTATTAATATTTGTTTTCAAACATAACGAAAATCGGTTATATCGTATATAGTAATAATAACCTGATGAACTACACGCATTACACCACCAACTGACATTCTGCGTAGATTTAATCGCCCGTGGACCAGGACCTGGAGCTGGAACATTCATAACAGGCGTTGCACGAACTTTGTGTCTTTCATGCAAATCAAGAGTTGGAGCACAAATAACCAAGGCCGTGAACATTACAACAAGAATAGCCAAAAGTCTTAGAACTTTGAAGGCAGCCATCTCGAAATTTTGTGAAATAAAGTTTTCGAAGCAAAGTATTCAGTTGACAAGCTAATTAATCTTGCTTGATGAGATTTTAAAAGCAGACGCTGCCCCCCGTTTAAATATGTTTTTCCGGTTTGAAATTGTCCCCTAGCAAGCTATACAAATTAATGTTACAATCTTTGATTTTGTTACAACAGCCCCCCTTCCTCAACCTGAATTTAATATCAAATGCTCAAATACGTCATAAACTTGTATTTGATTATACGTTGACGGCTTATGAAAAATCGCAATGACGCAAAAGATGTTTAAGATTTTGCTTTGATGGCAGCGTTTATCCAATAATATGCGTCTCTGAACAACCGATATTTTCCCAGAGGTAATGTTGGCGTTCTTTAAGAAAGAGAGAAAACAGTTAAAACCAACCGGTTTTACTCGTATTCGTTGACGAAGATTGGTTTAGAAAAAATATATTTGGGAACAAAAAAGATTACATTAGCATGCATGTTATTTGACTTTGTGGAACGAGGCAACCAGCACGATCTATTTTTAATCCTGAAATGGCGCGCCATCATACAAAAGGTTAGTCCACTGTTCAGACTAATGATTATTACAGCTAATGTGGGTAATTGAGTCGACAATGCCCACATATTAATATGGAATGGCAGAATAGGCGAGTAAATATGCAGCATGCGACATGCACCAATCAAAGGGCAATTAGGAAAATTTGCCCAGGCACAAATTAACAGCATTAGTAAATAGCTAATAGTCAGGGGAAATGTCCCTAGTACAGGGGTTAGCAATTGTGTTGATAGTAGTTATTGGCATGTCGATCGCAAAATT